ACTACTCGAGATTGGATTATATTTTAAAAAGGCAATAATAGAGTCATCAACTCATAGAACTGTGGATGGTTAAAATAGAAATTATTAGATGAGAGGTACCCATTGGGATGTCTCGGACCATGCCCCTGTCATCATGAAAATTGTTGTCATGGGGAAGACGGGGAATGGACGGGTTTTAGGGTTTAGGATGGAGGTTAAATGAGGCCCTTCTCAACATGGATGAGGAAATAGCTCAGAAGATTGGGGAAGAGATCAAGGTATATATTTCTTTGATAAATGAGAGAAGAATGAGACAGAGGAAGTATCGACAGCCACAGTATGGGAAAGCCCAGAGGTATATATAAGAGGAATCCTGATTGCGATGGGAGCAAGGAAGAAAAGAGAAAGAAGAGAGAGGGTTAGTGGTAAAATGATCCTAAATTTAGAAGAATTCTGGATTTGGTATTCAAAAAATTCAACTCTATATTAATGCCTCTTGTAAATACTGAGTATTTCCCTCCAGGAAAGGATGAGATATCAGGGAGATGGTTTAAAAGGGAGGATATCCAACTGAGAGATGTACTGGTAGAGGGGGAATTGAGATCATTTAAAGAACTAAAAGAGAAGAAGGGAGACATTTTTACTGGTATAGACGAGTGGAGATATCATCAGTTAAAATGTTTTATTGGAAAACTACCAAAACCCCTGAGATTAAAAAAGGAGTGGAATATGTTTGAAAGGTTGTTAGAAACTCGTAGAGATGGGAAACATGGTATTGCTAAAATTTATAGAATACTCACAGAATTAGACACAGACACAAAGTTAATTTTTATAACGAAATGGGAAAGAGATATGGAGGTGGTGTTAGATGAGGATCAACAGAACAAGATATTCAGATTGATACACGAGAATATTAGCATGAAAGAGGTGGAGATTAATTATAAGTGTTTGACACGTTGGCATATTACACCGAGCATTGAGCACAAGATGAGTGGGGAGAATTCAAAAATGTGTTGGAGAGGATGTGGGGAGATGGGCACGGTGTTTCACATATGGTGGCAATGTCCGAAAATTCAGGCTTTCTGGAAGACAATAGTTAAGTTAATAGAAATAATAACTGGAAATGACATAGGGTTAGACCCAACGGTGTGTCTCCTACATAATGTTGAGACAACAGTAAATAAATACAAAGAATCAGGCGTATGGTACTATTTAAGTGCTGCAAAAGGCTTGATACCCAAGTATTGGCAGAAAATAGAGGTGCCGAAGGTGGAAGACTAGATCAATAGAGTAAATCAGATTAGTAGAATGGAAAAATCTTACTATATGCAGGAAGACAGGTTGGGAATATACTATACGAGATGGAAAAAGTGGGAAAAATCAGGATTGAAAGAAAAATATAGAAAACTATAAACTAGAAAGTTATTTAAAGCTATTGGGCCTTGAGAGATTGGAGAACTTGCAGAGGGGAGGGAGGGGGAGGGGGGAGGGAGGGAGGGGGGGGGGGGGTGGGAATGGGTTGGGAGGGGAGGGAAAGAAAAGAGTTATAAGAAGGGGCAGGGTGGAAATGTAAGGAATATTTATATGTATTGTGTCCCTTTTTATGGAATTTTTTTGTAATAATATGAAAAATTAATAAATATTTAAATTAAAAAAAAAAAAAGAAAGGGGGAGAAAGCCTGCTTGAGGAATGATGAATTGCTCGCAGTGAAGTGGAAGGACAAATTAGATGTTTTTGTCCTGTCTTCCATTCACGCAGACGTGACAGTCCAAATTAACATGGTATCTGGCGTTGTTGAGAAACCCCTCTGTGTCCACGACTATAACCTTAACATGGGGGGGGGGGTGGACTTCAATGACCAAACGATGAATCTGTACTTAGTTTCCCAGAAAGCTTGACACTGGTACATAAATGTAAATATTTATTTATTTGAGATGGCTATATATAACACTTATGTAATTTACAAAGCAACTGGATGAAGTGGATCCTTCCTAAAATTTAGGGAAGAGATCATCATGGCCCTTTTGTATCCAGAAGGTGCTGTGGCCCAGTCCTCATATCCACACACTTTTTCTTGCAGAGATTTCTTCTCTTTTTTTCATTCAGCCCACAGGCTGCGTAAAAAACAGGACATAGCATATACACCCAACAAGGACCAGTGATGTATTGGTATATCACTGGACTTTGAGCAGTTATACCAGGATGATGTCTGCAGCTGCCCCCCTCCCCCGCTGCCTTCCACAGCCTTCTTAGGCAGTCCCGTGCCATTGGGGGAACCTGAGAATGCAGCCGGTGTTTCTGCCATCTGACCATAGAGCATATGGTAGACTGGAATGGTGCCAATCATCTCTATAGTCTAAGAAATTGGAAGCTACCAGAATTTCATCACTTCAGTTTCGCAGGAAAACAGCGCCATTTGTAAATTGGGAAAGCATCTGATCACACCGATCTTGATGAGATTAGATAATGTAAGAGCAGAGGAGATATCTATTGTCTGAAAGACCCCAGATTTCTAAAAAAAAGAATATATTACAATGCCCATTGAAGTTATAGGGGATATTTGCATTCCCTGTGATAACATTAAAAGTGATAAAAACAAAAAATGAAAGGGACAGTGTAAAAATAATTAAATCAAATTAACTTAAAAAAAAGCACTCTCTCGCCACCTGCATGCACGAGTTTTGACCCTGTGTCACTATGTAAACAGTGGTTGCACCATGCATGTGAGGTATCGCCACGAACATCAGATCAAGGGCAGTAATTCTAGCACTAGACCTCCTCTGTAAATCTAAAATGGTATCTTGTAAAGGCTTTTAAAATGTTTGCCTATGGATATTAAAAATGTATGCAGTTTGTCGCCATTGCACGGTGCATGCGCAGTTTTAAAGCATTCATGTTTGGTATATATTTGCTTGGAATGCCATCATCTTTTATATTTTACCTACTAATTGGCCGATATATTGTGCTTTTGTGCATTAAAAGTGAAACATTTTTTTTTTAAATTGCATTTCAAAAATCGCATAAAGAATTTCAGCACCCACCATTTTATTCACTAGGGTGTCTGCTTTAAAAAAATATATAATGTTTGGGGGTTCAAAGTAATTTCCTAGCAAAAAATACAGATTTTTTCATGTGAATAAAAAGTGTCAGAAAAGGCTTGGTCTTCAGGTGGTTAGAAGAGTGAGGGATGCGTGGCATAAGCTTATAATGCTGGGCATAAAGTTCCCCCACCCCCAAATGTACCCCTTTTTGCAAAGTAGACACCCCAAACTATTTGCTGAGAGGCATGTTGAGTCAATAGAAGAATTTATTTTTTTACTACAAGTGTTTGGAAAATAAAAAAAAATTTTTTTTTTGTTTACACAAATTTGTCACTTAAATTAGTTATTGTTCACACATGCCATGGGTATATGTGGAATTACTCCCCAAAATACATTCTGCTACTTCTCCCTAGTATGGGGGTACTACATGTGAGAGACTTGAGAGTCTAGCCAAGTACAGGACCCCTAAATCCAATAAGCACCTTTAGGCTTTCAAAGGGCTTTATTTCCTCATTACACTTTTTAACTACCTATCACAGTTTTGGAAGCCCTTAAATGTCAGGATAGCACCAAACCCCCCAAATAACCCCTTTTTGGAAATTGGACACCCCAATATATTTGATAAGAAGCATGGTGAGTATTTTGCAGATCTGTTGCCACAAGTTTTTGGAAAATGAAGAAAGAAAACAAAAACATATTTCTTTTCTTTTTTATATATTTCAAAACCTGGAAAGAAAAAATGAGATCTGCAAAATACTCACCATGCCTCTTTTTAAATTCCTTGGGGTGTCTACTTTCCAAAAATGGGTCATTTTTGTGTGTGTGTGTGTGGGGGGGGGGGGGGGGTTCGGTGCTATCCTGGCACTTCAGGGCCTCCGAAACTGTGATAGTTAGTGAGGAAGTGAAATGAGGAAGTTATGCACCTTCAGACTTTCAAAGTGGTCATTGGATTTCAGGCTCCTATATGTGGCTATGCTCCCAAAATGCCTCATAATGTGGTAATCCCCATACTTGGCAGAAGTAGGAGAATGTATTTTGGGGTGTAATTCCACATATACCCATGGCTTGCATGAGCACTATATCATTTAACTGACAACTTTGTGTAAAAAAAAATGTTTTTGTCATTTTTCAAAGACTTGTGGAAATAAAAAGAAGTCTTCCATGGACTCAATATGCCTCTCAGCATATACAGTAGCTTAGGGTGTCTACTTTCCGAAAAGGGGTCATTTGGGGGTGTTTGTACCAGAGGTGGACTGACAACTCATGGGGCCCCCGGGCAATAGGGGATCATGGGGCCCCTGTGTTCCCACCCACACTCAAACCACACCCAAAAAAGTCTCTGAAAGGTACCAGGGGCATCTCATGGGGCCCCCTACCAACCCTGGGCCCTCGGGCAGTGCCCGAGTGCTCTAATGGTCAGTCCGCCCCTGGTTTGTACTGTCCTGGTATTTTAGCACCTTAAGAAATGTGATGGGCAGTCAGAAAGTAAAAGCTGTGTAAATTCCATTATCTATACCATAGTTTGTAGACGCTATATCTTTCACACAAAGAAGTCAATATACACTTATTGGGATTTTTTTTTACCAAAAGCATGTAGCAGAATACATTTTGGCTTAAATTTATAATGAAATTTTAGTATTTTGGATATTTTTTATGACAGAAATGAGAAAATATTGTTTTTTTTTTCCAAAATTTTCAGTCTTTTTTTGTTTATAGCATGAAAAATAAAAAGCGCACAGGTGATCAAATACCACCAAAAGAAAGTTCTATTTGTGTGAAAAAAAGGACATACCGTATTTTCCGGCGTATAAGACGACTTGGCGTATAAGACAACCCCCCTACTTTTCCTGTTAAAATGTAGTGTTTGGGCTATACTCGCCGTATAAGACTACCCCTCTTCCAATGCACACCAGTGGGAAGAATCGTGCCCCATCATTAGTGTCAGTGGTAGGAATAGTGTCCCATCATTGGTGTCAGTGGGAGGAATAGTGCCCCATCATTAGTGTCAGTGGTAGGAATAGTGTCCCATCATTGGTGTCAGTGGGAGGAATAGTGCCCCATCATTAGTGTCAGTGGGAGGAATAGTGCCCCATCATTGGTATCAGTGGGAGGAATAGTGCCCCATCATTGGTATCAGTGGGAGCAATAGTGCCCCATCATTGGTGTCAGTGGGAGTAATAGCACCCCATCATTGGTGTCAGTGGGAGGAATAGCACCCCATCATTGGTGTCAGTGGGAGGAATAGTGTCCCATCATTGGTGTCAGTGGGAGGAATAGCACCCCATCATTGGTATCAGTGGGAGGAATGGTTTGTTCCATGGTGTTCCCCATCATTGGTGTCAGGAATAGTGTCCCATCATTGGCATCAGTGGGAGGAATAGTGCCCCATCATTGGTGTCAGTGGGAGGAAATCGTGCCCCATCATTGGTGTCAGTGGGGGGGGGAAGGTGCCCCATCGTTGGTGTCAGTGGGAGGAATAGTGCCCCATCATTGGTGTCAGTGGGAGGGGAATAGTGCCCCATCATCAGTGGTGTCAGTTGGTGGGTGCCCCATCATTGGTGGAATAGTGCCCCATCATTGGTGTCAGTGGGGGGCGGAATAGTGCCCCATCATTGGTGTCAGTGGGGGGGGGAATAGTGCCCCATCGTTGGTGTCAGTGGGAGGAATAGTGCCCCATCATTGGTGTCAGTGGGGGGTGGAATAGTGCCCCATCATCGGTGTCAGTGGGGGGTGGAATAGTGCCCCATCATTGGTGTCAGTGGGGGGGGAATAGTGCTCCATCGTTGGTGTCAGTGGGAGGAATAATGCCCCATCATTGGTATCAGTGACACCAATGATGGGGCACTATTCCTCCCAATGACACTTGCTGACCACTGTTCAGTATGGTGCTGCTGCAGCCAGCATATATGGTTGCAGCAGCACCTGTGCACGGCACACTTACCTTCACTTGATTTTTGTGGGGGGGCCGCTCGGCTCCGCCTCCTCGCCGGTGATTGGCCGCCTGTGTGCCTTTCCTGAGCTACAGTTCTGGCGGCCAATCACTGGTGAGGAGGCGGAGCCGAGCAGCCGCACGAACATCCAGTGGCCGAACTGAAGAAGGAGCAGCAGCCCGCGCTTCCTGCACCGGATCGTCGTGGGAGCCAGGTAAGAATCAGAAGCCCCTGCCCACCCCTTTACTTAGTTTTCACTTCCATTGGAAGGGGGGCGGCGGCGGCGGCACCGCACCGCCCCCCTAAAAAGTGTCAGCATGCCGTATACCGGCGTATAAGACGACCCCCGACTTTTGAGAAGATTTTCAAGGGTCAAAAAGTCGTCTTATACGCCGGAAAATACGGTACATTTAATTTTTTTACAGTGTTGCCTGATTGCGTAATTTTCAGTTAAACTAGTGCGGAGCTGTATAGCAAAAAATTACGTAAATTGCAGTATCTATACCAAAGTTTGTAGACGATATAACTTTCACACAAAGTAATCAATATACACTTGTTGGGATTTTTTTTACTAAAAACATGTGGCAGAATACATTTTGGCCTAAATGTATGACTAACTTTGAGTTTACTATATAATTTTAAGCAAAAAGTAAAAAATGTTTTTTTTTTTCAAAATTTTCGGTCTTTTTTTGTTTATAGTGTGAAAAATAAAAAGCGCACAGGTCATAAAATACCACCAAAAGAAAGCTCTCTTTGAGTGAAAAAAGAACATATATTTTGTTTGGGTACAGCATTGCATGACTGTGCAATTACCAGTTGAAATAGATCAGATATAGCAAAAAGAGGTCTGGTCAGGAAAGGGGGTAAATCCTCAGGAGGGCAAGTGGTTAAAATATAAGGGAGACAGTATAATTACAATACAGTTCGATATTGAAGGAACTGGAGGGCCCTGCTCATGAAGCTTACAATCTAAATGGAGAGGGAGATGTTAGGTAATAGCTGTAGGAGATGATCTGATGGAGGTGACTCAAGTACAGTTCTTAGCTGGAGGTGGAAGTGGGGTAGGCTTCCCTGAATAAATAAATAGTCAAGGATCTTCTAAAAGCAGACAGGGTAGAAGTTAACTGGACATACTGAGGCAGGGAGTACCGTAGGATTAGAGAGGCTCTGGAGAAGTACTGGAGACGAGCACAGGAGGTGGTAACAAGGGAACTGTAGAGCAGGAGGTCTTGGGAGGAGCGGAGAGGATGATTTAGGTGATATCTGCAGTTGAGGTTGGTGATGTAGCTGGCGGTGATGTTGTAGATGGCCTTGTGTGTTGTGGTTGGTATTTTGAAATTTTATGTTGTCCTAATGGAAGTCAGTGAAGAGATTGGCAGAGAAGGGCAGCAGTCATGGATCAGTTAGTAAGGTGTATTAGTCTAGTAGCAGCATTCATAATATACTGAAGGGGGAAGAGCCTGTGTAGGGGTAGGCCAGTGAGGAGTGAGTTGCAGTAGACAAGGTGGAAAATAACCAAGGAGTGAATAAGCTGTTTTGTGGTATCGTTAGTCAGAAAGGGGAGAATTTTGGAGATGTTGCGGAGGTTGAGGCGGCAAGATTTAGCCAGTCATTGAATGTGGGGGCTGAAGGAAAGGATTACACCTAGCACCCTGGCATGTGGGGAGGAACCAATTGTTTACCATTGAGATCAATAGTACAAGTTATGGGGAGGGGATTGGGGAGTAGGAAATATTATAAGCTCAATTTTAGAAAGATTGAGTTTGAGCAACTGGTGTGACATCCATACGTATATGTTGCTCAGTTAATTTGTGATACGTAAGGAGATTGAGGGGGTGAGTTGAGCAGTTGAGATATAGATCTGGGTGTCATCAGCATAGAGGTGGTATTGGAAGCCATGGGAACTTATCAACTAGCCCAGGAAAGAGGTATAGAGTGCGAAGAGGAGGGGACCAAGGGCAGAGCCTTATGTAACTGGGAGATCTTATGTAATATTCTAATTTTCTGAGTTACTGATCTTTGGGTTTTCACTAGCTGTAAGCCATAATCATCAAAATTTAAAGAAAGAAATGCTTAAAATATATCACTCTGTGTGTAACAATTATAAGTACCATATGAGTTTTTGATGATTTTCTAATCTATTGAGATGTGTGTGTATGTATATATATATATATATATATACGCAAAAATAAGTATGTGAACCCCTTGGAATTAAATGGTTTTCTGCAGTAATTTGCCATAAAATGTGTTCTGATTCTCATCTATGCCACAGCAACAGACAAACACAAGGTGCTTAAGTTGATAACACACAAACAATTCTAATTTCTTGTGTCTTAACTGAACACACCCATTAAACATTCACAGTAATGGAGGAAACAGTAAAAACTGGGAGGTTTTTTTTTCAGTCAATAACTAAATGATGTTAGTGCAGCGATCTCCCCTACTTAGCTAACGTGTACTGACATTTGGATTGCCTTTAGAACATGCTAATCAGACCTTACAGCCATTAACTGCAAGAGCTGATTGGATGCTGGTTTTCCAGCAAGTCAGTTTGATAAAAGTAGGTCTTTAGACTGGCATCTTTTGGACAGGCTGCTGTACACACTGGTCAATATTTGGCCCATGCATATCACCCTTAAGTGTACCCTTGGAGTTAAAAGCTTGTCAAACCACCTTTGGCAGCAATGACTCCAATTAGGTGCTTTGGATCAGACCTACACAATGTTCAGAAGGAATTTTTGACCATTCCTCACTGTTTCAACTCAGACACATTTGAAGGATGTCTAGTGTGAAATGCTCTTGAGGTCACTCCACAGCATCTCTATGGGTATAAGGTCTGGGCTCTGACTGAGCCACTCCAAAAGGTGCAATTTCTTTTTCTAAACTCAGTCTGTGGTGGATTTACTTTGATGCTTGAGGTTTTTGCCTAGCTGCATCATTCAACTTCTACTTAACTTTAGCTGGTGGACAGTCACCCTGACATTATCCTGTAGGATATTTTGTTGAGTGAGGAAACTTATTTCCCCCCTCGATGAAAGCAAAAGGTCCAGGCCCTGAGGCAACAAAGCAAGTGCAAATCATGATCTTCCCTCCACCATACTTCATTATTGGAATGATGTTTTGATGTTGGTAAACTCTGCCCTTTTTGTGCCATACATAGCGCCTAATGTTATTTAAAAAAAAAAAAATCAACTCATACTTCATCAGTCCCCAAACCATTTTCCCAGTAGCATTCTGGTTTGCCAAGGTGTTCTTTGGCAAATTTCATGTGTGTAGAATTTTTTTTTTGGGAGAGCAGCGGCTTCCTCTGCAGTGTTCAGCCATGTACATCCTGCCTGTCCAAAGACTAGAGAATAATGAACAGGGATGTTTGCCAGTTTCAATGATGTTTTGAAGTCTTTAGCTGTTACTCATGGGTTCTCCTTTACCCCATTGAGGATTTTGCATTGTGCCCTGGAAGTCACCTTGGATGGCTCCCACTTCTGGGAAGAGCAGCTACAGTACTAAACTGTCTTAATTCATAGACAATTTGTGTAACTGTCAACTGATGGATGCCTAAATAGTCTGACATTGCTTTTCAGTTTTCTGCAGATCAACTACTCTTGATCATAGGTCTTCAGAGAGCTCCTTTTTGCGAAAGACTGTTCACATCAGCTATGAATTATAATGGCTGCTACTGCATCCCATATAGTATCTATCTGTCTCATATATGATTGCTCATAGTAAGTAGTATTTGAGCTTACCCTAGTTTTATAATCCTAGTAATTTGCAAGACAAACTAATGAAAATGTCCTGGGTGGATATATGCACTGGATAGAAGAAACAGACTAGCACATTGGTGGAGAAAGATCTAATGCACCCTAAAAGGAGATCTGGATGGAAATAAAAGGGAGAAGAGGTATGATATAAATTACCTCAAAGCTTTTTGGAGGGGTAAGAAGACAAAAAAATCCCACAAAACACTCTGTCCAAACCTGTCCAAAGAAAGGGAATATGATATTGTGCAGGGTGTGTCTATATGCTCACTCACATTCCATAGATTCTAACAAATTTCTGACATCCCACCTCCTGGGGCCTGTAGGTTCACCTGCAGGGATAGGTTTACACAGATAGTAAATGTAAGTAATTAAACAAGATATAACCTATTATATGGTTGTGTGTAATAGGGTTGATTTACTTAAAAAAAATAAGCTGTTTACTTTGCAACTTTCCCTTAGCTTAGTGAATGTGTTGAAAATTCATTGTGCAAAGTGTACCAAAACATGTGCAAAGAATAAACAAAATGCTATTTTTGCTTCCACCTGATTGGATGATGGAATTCAACAGAGCTTCACCTCATTCATTAAGCTAAGGGAAATACCCTTGCAAAGTGAACAGCCTATCTGCCTTTAGAAAATCAACACTCATGCTGCCCATAACAGCACACAATTAATAAACATAAGGTCCACTGAATATGTCTCACATAATTTATTAAAGCTAATGCTTTGTTTCTTAAAAATAAAAAGCAATCAGACAGTTTCCATCTGACTAAGTGCCAGTCTGAATATGTTTCAGGCAGTTTAGCACTGATCTTATCATCTTCTCATCATCTTCTGATCTTTTCTTTGCTCCCCACAGGTAACTACTGGTGATTTAAAAATCCATATTAAGCATCTCCATGCTGTGTATGAATGAACTAATATTTAGCTAAGCTATGCTTCTTGGTAACTGCAGATGATTTAAACATTCATATTAACCATCTCCATACTGTGTATAAATAAACTAACATCTCACTAGCAAATGCTGTTTAGTAACTGCAGCTGATTTAAACATCCATATTGACCATCTCTATGGTGTGTATGAATGAAATGATATCTCAAAAGCAAAAGCTTCTTGGTTACTGCTGTAACTTCAGGTTAGGGGGTCTACAACCAAGACCTTTCAGATGAGATAGCGAATCCAAATGATAAAGAAAGGTGCATTTATTACACTGCAGTGGAGATAATATAGCATACAAAAGTTCACCTCATGTGACATGAATTAGGGTAATACAAAATATATATCTGTTTCTTAACCTCCCTAGCAGTATTCCCGAGTGTAGCTCAGGGTAAAGTTTCAGTACCAAAAGCAGTAACCCCGAGCTACACTCGGGCTTACCATGC